GCTTGTGTAATAGTTGGAGAGTCCTGGTATAAGAATATTTAGTTATTTCATTTTTCATTTATCAGTCAATAACAATACCATAAAACTTACATCTGCACATAAACATTTTGATACCAAAGCAATTCGTAATTTTTTTGGTGGTCATATTTGTCAAATTTCTGTTTTGTAAAAGAGGTCATAAGTTCATTAAGATCAACATAAAGCATATTTTCATTTGAATTGTCTTTAATGGTTTGGTTGTTATATCAGCGTAATGATCAAAATCCATAATCTAATGATGAAAAAAAGGTTGCTATGAGTGATTTGAATAGGCCTATCCTAATTCTCAAAATCGCTAACATATGAGATAATTATGAAAGCAGAGCTGTTACACTGGAAGAGAGGACCCGGAGTAGACATTAAAAGCCACAAGTAGTGAGTTATAATGGTTATTCGGCACCCACTAATCTAAACATCGGCTGAAGGGTTTGACCATATGGGCGTAGGATATTAGTTTCATTTTGTATACTAGATGAGAAGCCCAGGAGTAGGCACTAAGAGTCTTTACACAATCTTTGTAATGAGTCAATAGTGGTTATTTTGCAATACTCTGATCTAAGCATCGGTCGCAGGGTTTAACCTTACGAGCGTAGGATACTGTTTGATACCGTTTGATACTTCTTTCTAGATGAAATAACTTTTAAAATGTTCTGAGAATGTCTTTTCGAAATAAACGTGAGGAGATAGCAATCACGAAAAAAAATTTTATCGAATAGTTATAGACGACTAATTACGTAAGCTACATTGATAATTACAATCACGTGCGCTAACGCTAAATCGCCGATCACTATTTTATTGATTTTCAGATACAAAATACATAGCGAATCAGAAATGCTAGAGAAGTAATGAAATATATGATTCTATCAAAAAGGGAGGGAGTACGCAGATCCTAGGCCATTTAGTATGAATTCCAGCATCACATTTATTTCTTTGCTCTCTCACATTTTCGAAAAATATCTACAGTTGCTAATATTTCTAATTACAAAGATTCTCATCCCTATACTCTTTTTCGAAATAAATTATCCTACCCATATTTACAGAATTTTTTGTCTATCTATATCACCCTCACAGACTACATAAAAGATACAGATTATATAAAAGATTATTTGCCACAAGAAAACTTCTTTGAGATTAAGTAATTTCGAATCTAAAAGCATAAATTCGTGAGATTAGCAACTGATGTAAAAAAAAATAATATTCTGATTTACACTTACTATTACTATTAATTTTTACAACATTCCATTCCACCTGAAATTTATTACTTAATGCATTACAATAAAGGTAATTTGATTTTTTTAATGTCTGCATCAAATTCCAAGAATTTAGCACGTAAAGATAGTTATTATTAAAAATTTATTAGACACATTACGCCAAATTTTATTGAGGAGCGTGATATTAAGGCATGTAATAAGATTCATGTAGATAGTTTCACTGCGCCTATTATACACGTGATGATGATCAGTGATTTTCTCAGCAAAGATCAAAATGCCAATATATAACAAGAAGACCGTTTTATTATGGAACATCTATAGCAGAAAATTGATTAAGATTGTGATGACATATTTCAAGAAGCTAGCTGAGCAATAAAACCAACTTATCTTATTATAACTTTGTAGAATATGCGAGTTCATTTTGATTGTTGATTTCGATGATTTTAATAATAGTATAAAGTTTTATTTTTCATTTGATTTTTGCTTTAATTGCGCAAAACAAATAAAAGAGATCACTAACTGGAACATCACCTTTTTATATGATTCGCAGGATTGATTTTAAAATACGCTTAGAGAAAAATTATATTAATATAATTGCATTACGAAAATCTGATCAATAGCTTCTCCTTAATTTAACGCTATTCATAATCCATATGTAAAGATCATCAAGTGGCTATACATATTTTTGAGAATGTGCGAGAAAGTTTGAGAATAAATTATTTTGCGCAGTTGCTTATTCCTGTAATACATATAATGTTTACCATAATATTACTACGCATTATTTATGTTGACACTATAACTTTTCTTCCTGAAACAAATATGATAATCCTATCTATTAATTTACTGATCCCGATTTTAAAATTAAGCTGTATTAACATGCAAGCCTCTAATCAATCAATAAAGTCAAAAAATATTAACACCCTTCCCTTTTTCTTACTATAGTTCGAAAAAAGAAAACCTATCAGATTAGGGAATTAAGTTAAACTATTTCTTGAAGATTTTGACTGAAGGAGGGGAAATAGTCATAAAAGGCCAATTTGCCGTAATGAATTTGGAACGCGAATAGCTTATCAACTAATGACCCAATTTTGATGAGGATTAAACATTAGGATTCAGCAGGTTCTGAACATTTATCAAACCAAATTTTGTGAAATTCTGATCACTGGATGCGTAGTTATTCAGAAAATTGTAAGGTCAATTATTTTGAATATAACTACAAAAGAATCTTGTGAAGGCAACATTGCCAAAGTAGCATGTGAAATGCTGGTAACCTGATAACCTATAAAATACTAGTTTCTGGTTCTGAGAACCTAAAGAAGATAAGAAATTAGTAGATTGTTATGTAAGAATTCATAGCTACCCAGTAAATCCCAAAATGTATTATTAGTACTATATAAGGATTGAAACATCAATCGCTTATAAAACATGGTCCACATATTGTAAAAATCCTAAATTAATTTGATCAGATGCAGGCAGTGTATAAAATTTAGACCAAAAGTTATGTGCACAAGTTGTACTAAAAATAGAAAATTAATGCATGTATTATATAGTATTTCCATTTTTATAAATAATATATCTATTTTTATATATAATTTATCTATTTTAGTAATTATTTGTGCATATTTTATGCTGTATAATATGTGCACACAAAAATTTAATGTGCACATGTGCACATTGTGCATATGAATTTTACACACTGGATGCAGGGCACTGAGAGCTTCAAAACAAGCCAAGGTGTGAAGTATTTGGATCACAGGAAGCCAGAATAGCTTTGACAGTTAGGAAAATTTACTACCATATACTTCCGAAAATAAGCACCTCCCGAAAATAAGCACCCTTACATTTATATATATGCTAAAAATAAGCACCCCCCGAAAATTGTAACACATTTTATTATATTTATAATAAAAGAAAAAAATATTTATTATATTTATTAAATTTACAGATTAAA